AGTGGTCCTTTTCTGCGCTGGGCTTATTTTAACTCCCCTGGAGCCTTGTAGTGCCACACAGAGGAGCTGTGTTTCTCTCATGTAACTGGGTTTGGCAGTAGAGCTATCCCAGCTCTTCTCTGCTGAGTAGAATTTTACTGTTCCCTTTTTTGTGGGGATGGAGGAGAAATAAAAACAGGAGAGGATAAAATGTGGTGGGCAAAAACTCCGCTTGCCAAAGGAAAAATCGGGGGGTGGCGGGGGGGGAAGGAGCAAAACCTCATCCTGTTATGGTTACTATGTGTAGTTTTCTTTTCTTTCATAATTCCTCTCATGAAATAACAAACAGTTTAACCAAACGTGTGGTCTGTTTTCAATCTAAGTAGGTGTTTTTGACATTTTCCTGTGTTATTCCTATAAGGGACCGCTAGAGGTAGCGCAAGTGTTCCTGGCTGAAATTCCAGCAGACCCCAAACTTTATCGCCATCACAACAAGCTGAGGTTGTGTTTCAAAGAGTTTATAATGAGGTGAGTGTATAATTTACTCACACTTTACTTTTGTGAGTAAAACACAATTGAAATGCTTAATTGTATCAATAAAGCAAATAATCACAATAATGTAATGATAATATGACTGCGTAATTAATTATTGAAGTTAGCGTCATGAATCCTGGCATCTCATGCTTTAGATACTTGGTCCAGACTTGCAATCTGTGCTTCATGGTCAATGCTTTGGTAGGCTTTGCATCCCAAATGGGAACAAATGTTAACACTTCAAACCAATTTTGCAGAAGTTAAGATCTTCCATTTGTTTTATCTTTTGATATTTTACAGAAATCAAGCATTTCAGACTATTGCCCTGATTTTGTTTTTAATCAAATGACATTTTTATGTAGTAAGCTGTTTGTAAGAAAACATTTGACCCTATCTGTCAAGCAGATACATTGGTAGCGATAGACACATATGGCCTTTGCTTTAGACATGCTTGCAAATCTTAACAAGCGTACTCACATAGCAAGATATTAATCTCCTTAGTCCAAACAAAGCATAATTCCTGAAGGATAAGTTTGAGTTAAATAAAAATGAGCCTTATGCAGAAGATAAAGCCTCTACTCTCTGCTATTGTTAGTCTTTTTACAGTAAGTAGGCAGGTAGATCAGTGTTCTGCAGTCATTAAACTTGGTTTTTTATTAGCTCCCTCATGCATTTTGAATGTCTTAAGAATACCATCTCAATTTGTGTACTTGGAAAAGACAGAGATTTCTTATTAGTTCATTATCATTTTGGACTTGACAAGTTGTTAGAGGAATGCCTAGCCCAGAGGAGCTGGATCCTTGGCCGTTCAGAATACCTAACACAAAGTTAAGGAGTTTGACAGAAGCAGGTGATACACATCATGCCTTTTTTTCTTTCCTTTTGCCTAGGTGTGGTGAAGCAGTGGAGAAAAACAAGCGCCTTATTACTGCTGACCAGAGGGAATATCAGCTAGAGCTCGGAAAGAACTACAAGAAGCTGAAGGAGAGCCTTAGGCCCATGATTGAGAGGAAGATCCCAGAGCTGTACAAACCTGTAGTGAAAGTCCATAGCACAAGGTACAGTTAGGGCATGGTTATCTGTTGTAGCTATACAAAAAGATGTTCTTTTTTGCAAGGAAGAAAGGCAGTTTTACTGGCAGCTAAAACCAGGCCATAATATACGCTGCCAACTTCATACTTGGTTAAAGAAGTCCGCTGACTTCCACTGGAGCTGAATGTAGTATTAACTGTGTTTCTCAAGCTGCTTATTCCTGGGGTGGGGGATTTAAGTCATTTTGATGCAATGTTAGAGAAGACACTTTCTCCTCTCACTAATGAAAAGATACTGGAAACATCTTGCCATTTCTTCAACATCTGAAGCCAGGAAGAAGGTAGAACAGGTATATGTTTCTTTTGAACACATGGCACCGTGTGGTGTTAGCCAGCATGAAGTAAAAGTGATCCTTTCACTCCCAGGTAACATAATCTGGTTTAGTTCCGTGACCGAGACAGCAGAGCCCTAACCTACATTCTTTACTTATGAATATACGCTTCTTCACAAAGCCACTGTGTCCAGTGTGGGGTGGGAGCAGAAGAAGGAATATGCCTGTGACCTGCCAACACATAACATGTTTCAGCTGAGGATTTGTCAGCTGCTCATTTTCACAAGGCAGGTATTTCTTGGATTTCTTTTCATTTGCCAGCTTTATTTATGGATCCATTTCATTGCAGGGAATCTTTTCATAATCACAGTTTTAGGAAATACGATGCTCAGACTTCTTCACAAAGCACCTAAGGACTAGCTGCTTTGGCCAAGGAAGAGCTTCATGCTGCAAGTCAGAAGTGGTGGGGTATTCAACATCTATGAAATCGGAAATCTCTCATGAGACGGCATGTGCACTTTCTGGACAGCATGCAGAAAAACATTTACACAAGATCACTGAATGAAAATTGGGGGATGACTCCTTATCAGCCACATCTCATGAGGGCTTGGCAAGGAGAAGGGTGCTTTTTAGATACTTTTGCATATACTGTAAAATAATCACATAATGCAGAGCAGTGGACCATTAGAGTAGTCAGTGGCCTGAGGTCAGTCACCACTAGCTAATAGACACAGAACTCTGTGTGGTTTGGTTGCAGTGTCACGTGAATCCAAATAACGTGTCTAAGGGATGCTGACAAATTATGTCTATTTATGATCCTTTTCCAAGACAGCAATTTATCCATGTGCTTTTGGCAATGGAGCACATTCTGCAAATTAATCACATGCTTAGATGCTATCTTAGGGAGGAGGGACATGGTCCCCTGCTCAGTGCTTGCTAAGCTGAAGCTGTAGGAAACAGTAATTTCCTTGATCAGTTTCTGTCACCAGTTTCTATCATGGTTCTTAACTCCAGGGAGAGTTCTGCATAAGTTTTCTCAACCAAAGCTTGTAAAGTAAGAAGTAGCAATAAATAATTCTTACAGATCATCTAATTTTTTTCTAAGTATAGGGATCACTGTGTGACATGCAGTTGGATGTCTTGGTAATCAGTGACATGTTTAGCAGAGCCAGCAAGTAATAGTTTAAAAGGAAGTTGCTAAGCTATGAGTGATTCTTTTACTATACAATGCTTTTATGTAGATAGCCTTATCTAAAATTAACTATAGAAGCACACAGTGAGGATTTCCTACAAAGTACTTCACTCAGGCTTTACTGCAGGTTAAAAGAAATTAGCACATAAATTATAATACCTAGTGCACAATATTTTCTGAACCCTTAGCAAACATTTTACTAAACAATCTTTACAGCACTTCTCTGAAGTAAAGAAGTATTATTACAATTTTGCAGATTAGGATGTTGATAGAGATTAGGACTTTGGAGCTCATTTAGTGAGGCAGTGGCAGAGCCTCAATTTGTATTGTGACCATGCTTACCATGTAATGTTTGTATTTTGAAACAAAGATCCGTGAAAGCATCCCTCAATATTACTTCCTTCCCTCCACCTTTCCAGGGTTTTGGAAATCACAGTTTAATGCTGGTTAAAGTAACCAGTCCCATTTGCCCAAACACAGAATGTAATGTTAAAATTAAATGAAACAGTGGAATTAAGTTTTAACTTTGTACATCATTTTAGAAAACCACAGTGAACTTTCTCAGAGCTGATGCCATGTGTTTCTCAGCCTCTTTGCTCTGAAAGGGAGATTGAGGCTGCTGCTTTTAGTGGAAACATTTTGACTTTTTATGGTCATCTGCAGCCTTGCCATTTGATAATAGGAATTTTCCCAGCACTTCATTGACATCTGAGTGAGTCAGATTTTGAATATGCTATGTAGAAGATTCACATGGATGATTAACAAGATGAGATGTGGAAACAGGTGAAATAAACCCTGTACTTAGACAGCACGTGGAGTGTAAGAAAGCATTTCCCTCCTTATTCATAGGATTGTTAAATGCAATAATCAGGAGTAAGTACTCTGTGATTTTAAAGTGAACACATCCAAAGCAAATGGTATAAAAAGCTCAAAGCAAAAGATGCCTCCGTGGACTGCCTTCCCTGTATTCGAGTTGCTTTGAAACAATTCTAAGCTGAAAAGATGATTAATTTCCCAAAGTTCTGAAGGTATGAGATCTCTGCCTGTCAGAACCTAGCCCCTTACCTATTGCTTTTAACAGCCTGTTCGGGAGGAAGGTCAGAATACTGTCATCTATCAACCCCATAATCCAACCTCATTGTTTACAAGATGCTTATCCTTTACAGCCTAAATAACAGAAACCTCAGGTAAACCACCCTACAGGTGCACAATATACTAGGTAACAGTAATGAAGTGTTTCATGTTACGTGGTCCTTGAACTGAAACAATACTCAGGATAATATGAATACTGAAGGACTCCTCAGTCACATTTTTCAAGCTGAGCACCAGTTGGCCAGTCTCGCCCTCAGTTTGTAGCTCATGTTGTCCCTTCTACAAATAAAATATGGTTTATACATTTCTTTCAAGAACTAAACTATGTGAAATGTAAATTTTCTACCTTCTGATACTCATTTTGCAATAAAGTGACTGTTTCACAGGATGTTCAGAAGTGCCTTTGTGTTGCACCTTAAACCTTGATAGAACCCAGCTGGAAAGAAAATTTCAGTAGGAAGAACCTTTCCTTGTAGAAGCATCATTCAGAAAAAAAACACAGAGATTTGGGCAGGGAAGGCATCAGTCTATCTTTAGGATAAATTGTGTCTGTTACAGGGGTGACAGGCAATAACTTGCTTCCTAACTTCTTTTTTTCATTCAATGTCCGTGAAAATGGCAGTGGGAAGTTCAATGACAGTAATGCCCTCCTTTCTTCCTCTGGTGTGTAGGCATAGAGCAGAAATATGCCTGGTTTTTGAACGACACACCACCTGGGTGATTGAAGACTAGGTAGGGTGAGTGGTGTGTGTTCAAGCTAGTTAGGTCACAGGGGAACCAGCACCCATCCTGGTCCAGAGATTCCCACGGTATGAAGACTTGGAAAAACGAAGGAGAACATTTTAATTCCTTTTTTTTTATTTTCCTTGTTGTCTGTTTGAAGTATCATCATCTCAAATATTTCAGAAAGGGGAATTAAAGCTTAGTGAACAGCCTGACATAGAGCCAGCTAGTAGGACTCTTTAAGGTGTTATAATCTCTCAAAGCAATGTTTGTTATGAAAATGAAGCACACGATAACAGTGGTTTAATGTGTTTTACTGCTCTACAGTGCTGCTGCCTTCTGGTAGACAGGAACACATGCAAGGACTGTTCATAGGGTGTTGCCATTAGTGCTGTATTTGGAGTGGGGTAATTTAGAGAGTAGCTCAGCTGACTATGTTTTAACCATCTTTTAAACTGGTTAAGCAGAGTGATTAAAAAATAATCAACAGGTCTTGGTAAGTCACCTCAAGCTGGGTAATGCTGTGGTCTAATCAATGTACTGAAAGGAGAAGGGACCTCTGTGGAAAAAGTCCTTTTTGATTACATTAATAAAGGCAATGCACACTCACAGTAGAGCTTGGTTAGTGTCCGGTGAGGTAACAGTAAAATCTGGCATTGATTAAGTGCTTGACATAGTGAATTCAATAGGTTTCTGTGACTCCTTGTGTTCTCAGTGAGGGACTGGTTTAAATGAGGCATTTTTATTCAAAAACTGTTTTCCAAGTCTTTCAAGAATAAAAAAACCTAACCTTGATGAAGTTTTTTGCAGACAATTAAGTCACTCCATATTGCTCAGTAAAAATTCCTGAAAACATCAAACTAAATGTTTAGCTGATCAAAACAAACAAACAAAAACCCCAAAGACCCTCAATAGTAGTTTTACTAGGATTAGTTTAGAAAGCCTTGAAAGTTGTAACATTCTGTTCTGCTTGTCTGTTCTAAGCAATCTGGTGCTTTGCACCCTTTAAAATAATTTTTTTCCTTTAGGAAAAAACATGCAAAGTTGAATTCCACTCTTTTGTGGGTTTTTTAAATTTTCCTTCATGAATTTACACAGCATATGCTGTGATGTCCAGGGCTAAGCGTGCGTTTAGTCCCGGTAACTACACAGATGCACTATTTATAAGCTCTATACCTTCTCGATAGAAACAGTTGTGAGAGGAAAGATTGGTATGTGCTTGTTTAAATGCCAAATGTGTGGAATAAAAAGATACCTAAATGTAAATGCTCTAAATCATTACACACTTTTTTTCCTATGATATAAAATAGATTTTATATTTCTGTCTATCTGTGGATCTAATACTTCTTTTAGAACTGTTCGTTTTTACAGGAATAAGGTTTTTCCCTATCTGTCTCTATTCATGTAATGTTTCTAAATATGAATTGGATGTCTACTAGGACTGGTGAAATCCAAGTTACAAAGAAAGTTAAACTGTAATAGCCAGAGGGACAAGGTATTTCAGCTGGATGGGAGGAGGACTATGTCTTGTGCTATTTAACAAACACCTGTAAAACAGCTGGAAGGGAAGATTTTCTATCACACATTTCTCACTTTGCCAAACATGAATGTCAGTACAAATTTCTGATCCCCAAGGAGAGCTCTGTGGAAAAACAGAAAAAGCAAGGTTGGCATTGCTGTTATATCTA